TGAACATACTGAAACCTCACTTCAGTTTTGTTGTATAGTTAACACAGAAAAATACAAGGTGAAATTTGCTATGGAATTCTGGGAATTGTGTGAAAATGATCAGATACAGCTTTCATACAAGGTACTAAGTATCAAAGATATCTTGTGATTGACACACATATATAGTACAGGTATATTGCCACATATCTAAATAATAACTAAATATTATAATAGTAAAAATTAATATTCACCTGGCTTAAGATTGCAAAATGGAAATATTTTGTCAAGTTCATTAGCAGCTTCTCGAAGTAATTGAGAAGGTTGTAGAGGTAAATCTAGCAGGTCTATTATCATTTGTGCTGCTGATTCTTCTTTCATTCCCATTATCTTTGGTTTAATTGACCAGTCATAAGATTTTCCATATTTGGCAACTATTGATGAATAAACTTCAAAATAGATCTTCTCTGTGTCTGAAAGAATAAAAATAGAATTAGTGTCATAAACAGTCCAATTTCATGAACTTACTAATCACTTGGTTTAGTGTCTAGTATAAATGACAGGCATATTATGAACAAATAAATACACAAGACAAGATTTGAACTCACAACTATGACAATGTGCCTTGCCACTATAAACTGACATGCACCACACTAAGTTAGTACCTGCTCAAAAAAAGGGTGATCTGAATGGTGTGAAATATACATACTCTTACAGCAACTTGATTGACATGTGGAAGCCACACTTCTGATGTCACAGACAATCACATACATACAAGCCAAGTATATTCATGGTGAGTTTCACCTCTGCAGTTATGATCACCCTTGGGGACAATTTCATGCCCACCAGCAATGGCACACACCTGGATGGTGCTAGTTAATAAACCAACATTTCTGATCATGTCAAATTGTTTGACTATGCCCCAGTTGGGAATGCACACTTTAATATGCTTTTGATGTTGTCAGTGATATTACTTGTCTTGTTACGAAAAAAAATGACCTTAAATGAATTGATTGAGCTATAATATCAGCTGTAGTGTTCCAAACCAACTATCATCATATTCAGGACAACAACTCACTTACAAGAAGAAAGATATTAGGGACCTAGTATTACCTTCCACCAAAGGCGACATTAAGTGATGGCTACCTTCCAAATAGTTGCGTATTTGGCTTGCTCAGCCGACTATTTTGTACATTTATGACAGAAAGTGTCTCATTATGGCCTCCTACTGTCTAAATCTAGTTGCCTCATTAGCACCTTGTTGTACACAGTTGTACCACATTGTCACATTTTGCAATCCCCATTGTCGTCTCATCTCCT